GATGATTGACACTTTTACCATTACAAAATGTCCCTATTTATTTATAGTAATTTTTTTTGGTCTTAGAGTCTATTTTATCTGTTGTTAGTATACCCACTCTACCTTTCTTGTGGTTGCTGTTTGCATGATATATCTTTTTCATCCTTTTATTTTCATAGCTTTAAATGTAAAGTGTATCTTTTGTAGACAGTATTTAGTTGGATCTTGTTTTTTGAATCCATTCTGACAATCTGTGCCTTTTGATAGTCTGTTTTTTCTGCCTCTATTGATCACTTTTTTCCTTTTTCAGTCTGTTGATAATGGTGAATTGCATTGACTAATTTTCAAATGCTAAACCAACCTTGCATTCCCATGCTTAAATCCATTGATGTACTATCTTTGTTAAAATATTGCTTTGTTATATTACTAGAATTTTGATGAGGATTTTTATGTCTATGTTCCTGGAAGAATATTTGTTTTTAATTCTCCTTTCTTACAATGTCTTCATCTAATCTTAATATCAGGATAATGCTATCATCATAGAATGGATAGGGAAGTATTACCTTAATCTTCTATATCTTGCAATTAATTAAATATTTGATAGAGTTTTACCATTGAAACCATCTGAGCTTGACGTTTTTCTCTATTGGAATGTTTAAAGCATGAATTTAATTTCTTCAATAAATATAAGATTATTCAGATTATCTTCTTGCTCTAACTAAAGCTTTTTCTAAACTCCTTCCATTTCTGTGAATCTAATGCCAAGTCTTTTTATTCTTCATTTATACATATATTTGGAATTTGTAGACTTCTGTCTGTTGTAATGTTTCTGTAGATATCAATTGGTTCTGTTTTATTTGCTTTCTCTTTTACATTTTTTCTTTTTAAGGGAAGATGTGGGAGGATTCAGATTTATGAAGCCACCATTATCCTGCATAATCCAGAGGCATATTAAAGTAGTCTTTAGTGATAATGTTCCAGTCTATGTTGAAGTATCCACAGGAAGGACTTCCATGCTAAAATTTTCATGACTGGAGGGGCTACACAGGTGCCTCCAAGGCAGAATGACTGTGTGGTCACTAAGTCTTCTTCCAGCTTCCAAGTGACAATTCACTTTTTTGGTGGTTGCAGCTCCTTGATTTAAGTTTGAGTAACCTTTTACTTTGTATGTAGTCTTGGTCAGCAAGATACCCTTCTCTTCCTTAGACAAGGGATAACAATGAGCAATCTGGATTAACTAGACTCTCTCCCACTCTCTCCCAGAGGAACGCAGCCTTGAACAGAATCACTCAGACAGATAGAACAGTTGAAGTCAATTCATCCTAGGAGTTCTGATAAACTTTATAAGGCTTTAAATTACCCCGTTTTAGATCTCTGGGGTGGCTGTGGTTTCTGCTTTTTCTGAGATGTTTGTTTCTTCAGTTTTTGTGGGCCATCCCTTTTCTTCTAGAGTAATTACAGTGCTGCTTAAATATGCCAGAGATGATTTCTGTAACTTGTAACCAAATAACCCTAACTGATAAAGGAGTGAGTGGGGGTAAGGTGGTGGCTGTTCTTCTCTAGACAGAGAACAGTGCACAGAAAGACTTTATGGTATTTGTAGGGGATTGTATATGTGATATAAGGACCAACCATGTGCAGTTTATTAAAAATGCAGATGCTCTACTCCAGTCCCAGTGAGTAAGAATTTCTCAGTGTGTGGGGGTCAGGGAATCAAATTTGAACAAATTTCTCAGGGATTATTCTGCATAATACATTTGAGAAACACCACATAAGGGAACAGATTTTGAAATAAAAAAAACATTGTTTGGAATGATTGAAGCTATTTAAACTATGGTTAGTCAATTAATCTCTCTGACCCTGTTTTCTCACCTGTAAAATGAAGATGGTAAGACCTTGCTCATCAAGTTGAAAGACTGATATATGTATAAAAAGGATTTGAATATTGCTTCAATAGAGGACAATTGCACCATTTGTGGGTGTTAGGATTCCAAAATCTAGTATGTCTAAGGTAAAAATTGTGAGCAGCAAAAATTATGGTTGAAAATCATGTGAATCCACAACAGTAACATGAGGCCACATTTAGATGTTGTGTTGCAGACAAATGTATTGTCTTTCACTAAGCATATAAGTGAGAATTTTCCTCAAGTTAGAATAGTTAGAATAGCTGAATATCATTAAAGCAGTTGGCTTGTGCTTAAGTTGTATTTCACTAATAAAAAAAATTCACAACTTTATATTCTCAAATTATTTCTTACTCATACTCCATGTCAGACAAGGGTGGATGGAGGAGGGTGTTGCTCCAGGTAGTGTCACTCCAGGAACAGGCTGATGATGGCTGTGCTAGTGTCGGGAATGTTCTAGTTGATTAGGCAGAAGAAGAAAATAGAGAGTTGGCCACCAGCTCTTAAATTTTCCTTCCAGGCATAGTTCCTTACACTTGTGCTCAAATTCAGTGGCAGAGCAAGTTACATCGCCATGCCTGATTTCAGGTGGCTAGGGTAATGCAATCTGCCTGAGTTCTCAGAAGCACAGGGAATAGAAATATTTGTGAGTATTGCTAATGTTTACCACATGGAGTCTATTACATCAGTATGTTTTGAAAGGTCTCTAGGTGATTCTAATGTGAAGTAATCAAATCAATTCAAGTAAAATCAAAGTCAATACAAATGTATATATTCTTATTAAGTATTCTAAGAGAGTTCCAATAAAGAGCGGAAGCTTTGAGCAGGGATTCCCGCAGTTCTTTGAAACTCAAAACCAATAATCAGGCCAATCCATAACCCTTTCCATCCCTTCCTTATAGCATAGAATAGGAGAGAATTAAAAAAGGATGCATTTGTAAAAAGAAAGTATAAATCTTAAAAATGAAAGCCATGGGGACTGCCAGTGTAAATAACTTTAGAAGAACAGCCCCAGCATCGCCGTCAACACCGCGGACCAAATTTGTAGACTTCTGTCTGTTGTAATGTTTCTGTAGATATCAATTGGTTCTGTTTTATTTGCTTTCTCTTTTACATTTTTTCTTTTTAAGGGAAGATGTGGGAGGATTCAGATTTATGAAGCCACCATTATCCTGCATAATCCAGAGGCATATTAAAGTAGTCTTTAGTGATAATGTTCCAGTCTATGTTGAAGTATCCACAGGAAGGACTTCCATGCTAAAATTTTCATGACTGGAGGGGCTACACAGGTGCCTCCAAGGCAGAATGACTGTGTGGTCACTAAGTCTTCTTCCAGCTTCCAAGTGACAATTCACTTTTTTGGTGGTTGCAGCTCCTTGATTTAAGTTTGAGTAACCTTTTACTTTGTATGTAGTCTTGGTCAGCAAGATACCCTTCTCTTCCTTAGACAAGGGATAACAATGAGCAATCTGGATTAACTAGACTCTCTCCCACTCTCTCCCAGAGGAACGCAGCCTTGAACAGAATCACTCAGACAGATAGAACAGTTGAAGTCAATTCATCCTAGGAGTTCTGATAAACTTTATAAGGCTTTAAATTACCCCGTTTTAGATCTCTGGGGTGGCTGTGGTTTCTGCTTTTTCTGAGATGTTTGTTTCTTCAGTTTTTGTGGGCCATCCCTTTTCTTCTAGAGTAATTACAGTGCTGCTTAAATATGCCAGAGATGATTTCTGTAACTTGTAACCAAATAACCCTAACTGATAAAGGAGTGAGTGGGGGTAAGGTGGTGGCTGTTCTTCTCTAGACAGAGAACAGTGCACAGAAAGACTTTATGGTATTTGTAGGGGATTGTATATGTGATATAAGGACCAACCATGTGCAGTTTATTAAAAATGCAGATGCTCTACTCCAGTCCCAGTGAGTAAGAATTTCTCAGTGTGTGGGGGTCAGGGAATCAAATTTGAACAAATTTCTCAGGGATTATTCTGCATAATACATTTGAGAAACACCACATAAGGGAACAGATTTTGAAATAAAAAAAACATTGTTTGGAATGATTGAAGCTATTTAAACTATGGTTAGTCAATTAATCTCTCTGACCCTGTTTTCTCACCTGTAAAATGAAGATGGTAAGACCTTGCTCATCAAGTTGAAAGACTGATATATGTATAAAAAGGATTTGAATATTGCTTCAATAGAGGACAATTGCACCATTTGTGGGTGTTAGGATTCCAAAATCTAGTATGTCTAAGGTAAAAATTGTGAGCAGCAAAAATTATGGTTGAAAATCATGTGAATCCACAACAGTAACATGAGGCCACATTTAGATGTTGTGTTGCAGACAAATGTATTGTCTTTCACTAAGCATATAAGTGAGAATTTTCCTCAAGTTAGAATAGTTAGAATAGCTGAATATCATTAAAGCAGTTGGCTTGTGCTTAAGTTGTATTTCACTAATAAAAAAAATTCACAACTTTATATTCTCAAATTATTTCTTACTCATACTCCATGTCAGACAAGGGTGGATGGAGGAGGGTGTTGCTCCAGGTAGTGTCACTCCAGGAACAGGCTGATGATGGCTGTGCTAGTGTCGGGAATGTTCTAGTTGATTAGGCAGAAGAAGAAAATAGAGAGTTGGCCACCAGCTCTTAAATTTTCCTTCCAGGCATAGTTCCTTACACTTGTGCTCAAATTCAGTGGCAGAGCAAGTTACATCGCCATGCCTGATTTCAGGTGGCTAGGGTAATGCAATCTGCCTGAGTTCTCAGAAGCACAGGGAATAGAAATATTTGTGAGTATTGCTAATGTTTACCACATGGAGTCTATTACATCAGTATGTTTTGAAAGGTCTCTAGGTGATTCTAATGTGAAGTAATCAAATCAATTCAAGTAAAATCAAAGTCAATACAAATGTATATATTCTTATTAAGTATTCTAAGAGAGTTCCAATAAAGAGCGGAAGCTTTGAGCAGGGATTCCCGCAGTTCTTTGAAACTCAAAACCAATAATCAGGCCAATCCATAACCCTTTCCATCCCTTCCTTATAGCATAGAATAGGAGAGAATTAAAAAAGGATGCATTTGTAAAAAGAAAGTATAAATCTTAAAAATGAAAGCCATGGGGACTGCCAGTGTAAATAACTTTAGAAGAACAGCCCCAGCATCGCCGTCAACACCGCGGACCTCAGCGCGCTGTAGTGCCCCGCGGCCGGCAGGGCGAAGGCTCCGCCTCCAGGCACCGTTTTCTCGGAGGCCACCTGCTCTCTCCGCCTCAGCCCTCACGCTTGCGCACAGCGCCAAACACCGCCCGGCCGTCCTCGTGGCATTCCCCACCCCCGGGTTCCGGGCTCCGGTTGGTCTGTTTTCCGGGACCGCCCCTTGGGCCCAGCCAATGAGGGAGCCACCCCGGAGATCCGCCCTCCCTGTCGGGCGGGGGCGGAGGAGCCGTGAACCCCGGCAGCCAGTGGGCATGGCGGCGGCGGGGGTGCCTGCTGGCCGGCTGCTGAGGCTGCGTGCGGCGGGTGCCGAGGGCGGCTGGCGTCGCCTGCGCGGGGCCCCGCTGATGCGGGGCTTCCTGCAGTCCCCGACGCGGCAGGTGGCCCACTTCACGTTCCAGCCGGACCCGGCGCCCCACCAGTACGGTGAGTGGGGCTGCTCTGCCGCTCCCGCTGCTACCCGGGCTCCCCGGCCCGGGGACCTGGCAACGAGGCCGCCTGCCGGGGCGCCGGCGGCTGCTGTCTCCTCGCACCCCGTTGCAGTCCCCGCCCTGCTTCCCGGAGCCGCCCCCCTCGGGTCCGACGGGTGTCCCCCCTCCCCCTCCCAGGCGGGAGCCCTCGGGCGCCCTCGGGCGGGTGCGGGGCGCCCCGCTGTCTGGGGCGCCCGGGGCGGGGGGCGGCGCCTGCGGAGCGCCTTTCCTTACTCCGCTCTCCATCCTTGCTTTCAGAGCCCTGGGCTGGTGTTTGCTAACTATAGGCAGCGGTATGAAAGGAAACAGAAATTTGTTCCATTTCTTTTTTACTTTTCATTGGCAGTTAAGGGAAAAAGGCGGGCCTAAGTAATTGAATTGATTTACTAAGGTCACAGAACTGGTTCTTCCTACAGATGGGAAAGAATACAGGCTTCTGGGCTAGATTGCTGCCTATCCAAGGTGGGGCAGTCGGTGGAGGTGACAGGAGGAGGAAGCCATTTAGTTCTTTTAAGGGTAGGAAGGGCATGTATCAAACTACTCATGGTATGACAGTTGCGTGACTCCTACCATTTCTTCTGTGAGTTTTGTTTTAATTTCTTAAAGAGCCAGTGTCTGTCATCAGAACATCAGAAACAATGAGAAAAGTTGCCTTTTCTTTGTCTATAACTTCATATTCTAGGGCTGACGTTTTTGGAAGTGTGTCTTTACTTGTGAATGGTAAGAGTAAACATATATCAAGTGCTTACCACAGGTAGGCACTGTGCTGAAAAAGTTACATTCACCATTTCATTTGATGCTTAGGACAACCTTCAGAGGTAGGTGATGTTTAATTCCCACTTTTCAGTTAAGTTACTGAGGTCTTGAGATAGGTTGTCCAAGGTTATACAGACAAATTAGTGATCGCTTCTGCTCTGGAATCTAATTATTCAGATTCCAGAGCTACCATTCTAAACAACATGCTAAAATTTATTAAGTGTCCCAGTTGTGTGAAAACAATAGATACCATAAAGGTGAATAGCAATTTTTTTCTCAGCAGCTGGATGAATCTTGAATTCTGTCTTCAAAGCAAAGAAACTTTAGCCCAACACTTGAGAAATACAGCACCAGTCTTCTAACCCCCTTCCATAGTTATGACATTACTAAAATCCAAGTAATTTGATAATCCTGTTTATATTTTTAATTATAAAGATAATAGCATATTACAGATAATTTGGATAATAGGAAAAGGTAAAAAAAGAGTAAGTCTCACTACCCACTACTATTTGTAAATATTGCTAACATTTTGGGGTATATCCTTTAAGGTATTTTCTTCTAGTTGAGTGGAATTAAATTTTCCCTTAATTGTACCTTTACTACCAATGCAATCTGCATTATTTAATCAGAAGCATTTTCTCATATCATAACATTTTTATAACCTTTAGAAGAAGACATTCAGTGGAGTAGAAACACTATAATTCAGTGATTAAAATCTTGGCCCTTGTACAGATTGTCCTAGGTTTGGTCTTGACCCTGTTACTTATGACTTGGACTCATTACCCACACTTTATAAGCCTCAGTTTCTTTATAAGTAAGGAGATAAAATATGTACTTAAAAGGTTGTTAGGACTAAATAATGTGTATAAGATACTTAACAGTCTGATTACTAAGAAGCATTCACTCAAATGGAAACTTAATTATCATTATGTTTTTGTTTTACAGCTTTGCAATGTTGTAAATAATGTAGATAGAAACATTTCATGAATCTTTTGTGTATCTGAAATTATTTCTTCAGGTTAAAGTCCTAGGGATGAGATTTCTGACTCAAAGACATGAATAGTTTAGTGGGTTTTTAATGCATAGTTCCAGTGACCAGTTTATACGTCCATCTGCATGTATAACAGTAAGTTTTTGGTGTCATGCAAAAATCATAGATGTGCTGTGATAGTGTTGTTTTATATTAAGAAATATATGTTGGTTTTTGTCCCCTTGTCCTGGCACAAATCTCCTAAAACCCTTGAAATTTCCTGTGAGGAGAGCAATAAGATTGTTTTTTGTTGTATACTTGGTACTTTTGGAAAGCCTATAGATCACCTAAACATGGTGGCTGGTCACCAGAGGAACCATGTGATTAAAGGGCTGGAACTTTCTGTCCTCCTCTGGGGAGGGGAGAGAGCCTGAGGTTGAATGAATTTAATCAGTTACATCTACATAATGAAGCTTCTACAAAAAACCTTCAAGGATGGGGTTGAGGGAGTTTCCTGGTTAGTGAATAGGTAGAGATTCAGAGAGAGTGGCAGCCCTTCTTCCCCATGCTTTGCCCTTTGCCCTTTGCCCTGTCTCTTCCTTGTGGTTGTTCCTGAGTTACATCCTTTTATAATAAACCAGTCATCTAGTAAGTAAAATGTTTCTTTTAAGTTCTGTGAGCCCCTCCAGCAAATCAAGGGCAGCAAAATAAGCCGCCCTTACAGAGCAGCTGCTTTCACCTCCACAAAACCAGGGTGGAAAATCGTTTACCAGAAGAAACAAAGACAGCAAGGGTGAAGGCGCTGAGTGGAGCCATCCTAGTTGGGTATGGGGAGTAGGCAACTCTCAGAGATCAAGGGTGGACTGAAGAGCCCTTCTTTATGGGGATGAGGGTCTTCTTTCCAGTACTAGAATTTGTAGAGAGGGGAATAACATGAGTAAAGAGGTTGAAAATCATGGGGCTTTATGAGGAACAATAAGTAGTGAGTTGGTTTGGAGGACAAAGAAAAGGGGTAGGAAATAGGACTGGAAAGGTAAATGGAGACCTCAAAAGCCAGCATGAACGCTGGGAGAGAGAAAAGATTGTTTATCTCCATTGGGCCCTACACTGTGCCAAGTGTATTGTATTCAGTTTTGTTCTGTGTTTCCACTCACTCTATTATGGCTCATCCAAACCTTACCATTCTGTACCCCAAAGAATGATGATAATGATGATAGCAGACACTTTTATCGGCACTCACCGTGTGCCAGACACTATTCTGAATGCCGTATATGTATCAATTCATGTAATCCTCATAAAATGGCGCTTTCATGGAATCCTATTATACACATTTTATGGCTGAAGAAACTGAGAGACAGAGACGTTAAACTTCTACTTTCTGACATTTAAACATCTGTAGGCCACACCACTTATAAGAGGTGGAGCCAGGCTTCTTTTTTAAAAAAAATTTTTGTATCATTAATAGTGGGCTTCATTTTTAAGTAGTCTGGCTCAGTCTGGCTCCAAGACTCCTTGCTCCTGAGCAGTCTACTACTCTCTTGCATGCATTATTTTACATGCTTGAATTTCTTCACACACTTGACCCCCTCAGACGTGGCTTTCCCCAAATACACTGCTTCTTTAGCATCTCATTTGAGTAGAGATCTCTATACATCCTTTTCATTGTAATGTACCTACTTCATGTTTATTTTTTATTCCTTTTTTTTGGTATCATTAATCTACAATTACATGAGGAACATTATGTTTAATGGACTCCCCCATTCACCAAGACCCCCCCCAAACCGCATTACAGTCACTGTCCATCAGCATAGTAAGATGCTATGGAGTCACTACTTGTCTTCTCTGTGTTGCACAGTCCTCCCTGTGCTGCCCCCCACATTATACATGCTTATCTTAATGGCCCCTTTCTCCCCCGCTACCTTATCCCTTCCTTCCCACCCATCCTCCCCAGTCCCTTTCCCTTTGGTAACCGTTAGTCCATTCTTGGGTTCTGTGACTCTGCTGCTGTTTTGTTCCTACACTTTTTCTTTGTTCTTATACTCCACATATGAGTGAAATCATTTGGTACTTGTCTTTCTCTGCCTGGCTTATTTCACTGAGCATAATACCCTCTACGCTGCATCTGTGTTGTTGCAAATGGTAGGATTTGTTTTTCTTCTTATGGCTGAATAATATTCTATTGTGTATATGTACCACATCTTTATCCATTCATCTATTGATGGACACTTAGGTTGCTTCCATTTCTTGACTATTGTAAATAGTGCTGTGATAAACATAGGGGTGCATCTGTCTTTTTCTAACTGGGGTGCTGTATTCTTAGGGTAAATTCCTGTAAGTGGAATTCCTGGGTCAAATGGTATTTCTATTTTGAGCTTTTTGAGGAACCTCCGTACTGCTTTTCACAGCACGGAGGTTGTGGAGTAGTGGTTGAACTAATTTACATTCCCACCAGCAGTGTAGGAGTGTAGGAGGGTTCCCCTTTCTCCACAACCTTGCCAACATTTGTTGTTGTTTGTCTTTTGGATGGTGGCAATCCTTACTGGTGTGAGGTGATATCTCATTGTGGTTTTAATTTGCATTTCTCTGATGACTCGCGATGTGGAGCATCTTTTCATGGGTCTGTTGGCCATCTGAATTTCTTCTTTGGAGAACTGTTCAGCTTTTCTGTCCATTTTCTAAATGGATTATTAGCTTTTTGTTTGTTGAGGTGCATGAGCTCTTTATATATTTTGGATGTCAACCCTTTATTGGATCTATCATTTATAAATATATTGTCCCATAATGTAGGATGCCTTTTTTGTTCTATTGATGGTGTCCTTTGCTGCACAGAAGCTTTTCGGCTTGATATAGTCCCACTTGTTTTTTTTTTGCTTTTCTTTCCCTTTCCTGGGAGATATGTTCATAAAGAGATTGCTCATGTTTATGTTCAAGCGATTTCTGCCTACATTTTTTCTAAGAGTTTTATGGCATGACTTACTTCAGGTCTTTGATCCACTTCAAATTTACTTTTGTGTATGGGGTTAGACAATGATCCAGTTTCATTCTTTTTTTTTTTGAATTTTTTCTTTAGTGTTTTTTATTGTTTTATTTTTATTCATTTTATTATCATTAATGTACAGTTACATAAAGAACATTATGGTTACTAGACTCCCCCCTTCACCAAGTCCCCCCCACATACTCCATTACACTCACTGTCCATCAGCGTAGTAAGATGCTGTAGAATCACTACT